CCACAGCATAAAAGCCACACACTGCTCAAATCTGATTGAGACTCTGACTGCAGGGGCTTAGGATCAGTGAATTCAAAAGCATCTCTTTCTGGCACTTTAAACAGATGAGTTTAACTCCACCATATAAAATTACTCTTCCTGGCCCTGAAATACTAGGAATACAGACTACTACTCATTTGTTTAGCTTCAGAAATATATTTCTCTCTTCCTATGTATTTATACTTATTTGTAATTTGCCTTATGGTGTTCAGAGGTCAAAATACACACATTATATTCATTCAGACCTGCTTTATGGGATTTCCCTGATAGCAAAGCAGTTATTTTTTATGCTTGTTACAGATATTTTTGCTTGTTTGAGTCGCTAATAATTTCTTTATTCATAAAACTTTTTAAAATTATATCTTTCCTTCTCTGTCATTTATTTTTTAATTTGCAGAGGTTTAGATTAATGGACTATAGCGAGTCTGGCATGAAGGCTGCAGAGTGATGATGCTGGGCTCATTGCCATGTACTCACAACTCAATTATAGCAGAACAAAATCAACCACTCCCTGAAAGATAAATGGACAATCCTACAGCACACTTCAGGAGCAAAGGTCCAGCAGAAAGGAGTAAGAACAACTTTCTTTTATTATTTTGAAGTTTTGGGTTTTTTTTTAAGATTTATTTATTTATTCATACAAGAACTGGAGTACAGGCCAGAGGTGCAGGGTGTCAGAGGATTCACCAGAGACAGAGCAGGGAAGAGAATAGGCAGACCAACTGAAATACACTGCTGAGGGGAGCAGTGGGCAAGACAAAGAGGTCTGCTGTGCCATGTGGGTAGCTCCCTGGCAGGCCGGGAATGGAACGCGTGCTGCAGAGAGTGCGGATAGCTTCATAGTGCTGTGCTTAGCCCCTTGTGCCACCAGGGAGGCCCAGAACAACTTGCAATGAACTGTGTTTGCAGGGATACCAGGGCAGTACAACCCATGAGAGGGAGGGGTGGCTACTGTATGGAATGTCCCTATAGTTGCACATACCCACACATAGGACATTGGCGACCCTGGACTATGCAGGATAGGGGGGTACACAGAGTTAGTGTCCAGGACAGAGGGTGCACTTTGGAGAACTATAGGAGCAGGGGTGCAAAGTAATGGTTAATGCTTTGAGCCTGAAGCTTCTAATACAGAACAGTTCTCAGTAGGGAACCTGTGGGGAGAACCAGGTCAGATTACCTTTTTCTCCTCAGAGGAGGCTAATAATTGCAGCCTGAGACTTGGATATTCAAAATACCTGCCACACCTCCTCCCTCAGCTAAAACTGAGACAACTGAATACTTTTACTAATCAGAGTTTAACACCTGTTAACACAAGGCACAAACCACAAACCAACCGCCAGGATAAAGGTCTGTAATGGAAAAGATAACAACTCCCAGTTTGTGACCCTTTCTCAACCATAAACTCTGTGCTACTGCCCTGGGTCATTTCTATTACCAGTTCTCCAGTCACTTCAACTAGTGCAAAGGCAGCAGTCTAAGCCTATCCCTATCCCAAATGCTGGAGCAAACAAATCTGGAGAGGAGTCTCAATCCAGCAGAACTGTGTGATACACTTGAAGAAAAGTTCGTAGTAACAGTTCTAACAATGCTCACAGAACTCAAAAAGCAATGGATGATATAGGGCCTCCCTGGTGGCGCAACGGGTTAAGCACCACACTGTGAAGCAATCCACAGCCTCTGAAGCACGAGTTTGATCCCTGGGCAGCCAGGGAGCAACCCACATGGCACAGCAGACCTCTCCTAACTCACCTGCTGCTCCCCTCAGCAGTGTATTTCTGTCAGTCTGCCTGTTCTGCTCCCCGCTCTGTCGCTGGTGAATCCTCTCACCCCCAGTATCTCTGTCCTGTACCCCAGCTCTTGTATGCATAATAAATCTAAAAAAAAAGCAATGGATGATATAAAACAGGGACAGAATAAAGACAGAAAATTAGTGATATTTATAAAGTTACAATCAGAACTAATAAATCTGAAAAAATTGTAACCAACAGAACTCCTTAACAGCAGATTTAAAAAAAGCAATGAAGAGAATTAGTTATATCAAAAGCACAATGTTGGAGAACAGAAATAGAACAACAAAGAGAAAGAAAAATAAAAAGTGAAAATAGTGTAAAGCCCTTTGGGATAACTAAAGGGTTCTTATATATCATGGGGATCCAAGAAAGAGAAGCAAAAGAGAAAGGCATAGAAAATGTGTTTAACTAATGGCTAAGAATCATCTCAATCTGGGAAATGGACCCAACATTGTGATCCAAAAAGCCCAAACAGTTGTAAATGAAATGATAACAGAGACACAAACTTCAAGACACATCATAAAACTGCCGAAAGCCAGTGACAAGAGCAGAATACTGAAAACAACAAAAGAAAAAAGGGTAACTATAAGGGAATGCCAATTAGACTGTCAGCAGATTTTTCAGTAGAAGCACCACAAGCAAGAAGGGAATGGCAGAAGATATTTAAAGTACTCAAAAAGATTTCCAACAAAAATCTTTTACCCTAGAAAATTAACACTCAAGACAAAAAGAAGGGTAAGGACCTTCACTGAAAAGCAAAAACTAAAAGAATTTATTAACACCAAGTCAGGTATGAAAAAACTACTAAAGGGTCTACCATAAAGCAAGGGAGCAACAAATTCAGTGGTAACAGACACCTAACTTAAATAACAAAAAGGAGGACAAGAGTAACAATGTGGGATCAGACTGGCCCACAGAACAAATCTGAGATCAGACTGTGCAATAAGTTACATAAATAATCCATCCTACACTAACGTCAGCAGAGCCTTCAAACAAAAATCAATAGTTGTAACACATAAGAAAATGGAAATGAAACCAAACAAAACATAAAAATGTCAAAAAAGAAAAAGACAAAAAAGAAAACCCAAACCAAATAAACCCCAAAGTGACAACATAGCAATGAGCAATACTTAATTAAGTAAATGATCTGAATTCATCAGTCAAAAGGTGTAGAGTGACTGAAAGGCTTTCAAAACAAAGTCCAACCTTCTACTGTTTACAAGAAACTCATCAGCAAAGACAAGCACACACTTAAGGCTGAAAGACAATCCTAGAAACAAACGAATCAAGGAACAGTTGTACTTTTATCATATAAAACAGACTTCCAATAAAAAAGTCAGTGAGATGAACAATGCATTCTAATTAAGAGCTTAAGACAATAAGAAGTGATAACATTCAGATATATATGCTGCAATGATGAAATACTAAGGTATATATGACAATTACTACCAGAGCTAAAGAGAAATAGGGCAAATAATAATACCAGTGTATTATAATAATCCACTTACAATGATAGGCAGAGCAACAAAACAATAAATAAAGGATTAAAAACATGTAATAAAGAAGTGTAATTTTTTTTTTTTACTTCAACATTCAGAAGAATATTAAGGTGAAGGAGAAAATAAAATAAATTCCTTGAGAAAATTGTAACAATATACGTATTGTTATTTTATCATTTGCTGTAAATCCTCTCACTTTAAAAGTTTAGCACACATTTTTATTCTACATTTTGCAGAAGGCTATCATCAAGATTTCATTAAGCGATGTATAAAGAAAAATAGTATTTGATTATTATTTTGAATAATGACTTCAACATAACAGGACAATCTGTCCCAGTGAATATTTTGTTCATTATTGACAGTCAGGAAGTACTGAATCAGAGATAGCAGTCAGACCTGTAAACAGGTCTTCTCACGATGGGATAACTCAAAGCATATAAAATTTTTTTTTTCACTTCTCAGAGATACAGATATCAGAAAATAAATGAAAGAAACACAAAACACCTGTTACCAACCCAGCTCTTCCTGTCCACTATTATGCTACTAGCCAATGATTTTTAAAAAGTAATCAAATTAGCAAATGAAAAACTCTCAAATGTCTATAACTAAGAAAACTGGTAACTATTATATTATTTGCAACAAGGGCAGGCTGCCAATGTGTGACACATACTAAGAGCTCAAATGTTTTTTTTTTTTTAGCATTTTACACCTTTTTTTGTTTTTTTATTTAAATATTTTATTTTATATAATTCTTATATCTTTTTTTCATCTTTGCTCTATGTATGCATTTTCATTTTGGTTATATTCCCCATACAATTGCACCCCCCCCCCCTTATTTTGACACTAGTCCTTCCTTTCCCCGCCCCTCCCCCACCCTCGCTGCAGAGGCTGCGGGCAGCTTCCCAACCCAGCGCTCAACCGATGCACCACTGGGAGGCCCAAGAGCTCAAATATTAATTGTTGAAGAGACTAGAGCATTCATGAGACACATGAACATCGATTTCTTAAGAAAAAGATATTTTAAAAAGATTCTGAGTAAGAAAATACTCACATGTATACCATTCTATTTTAATTTATATAAATTATTCTATTTATAATAAAATAAAATTCAATTATAATTTATATATGTATACATTTATATGATGTGTATATATAATGTATTATATATAACTGGCGGTTGAATTTGCACAAAAGATGTCCTAAAATTTTATTAATCTTCTCAAATATCTCTATTTCATACAAAGCAAACAAGAAATGAAAAATTCACTCTTTTTAGCACAGTGTAAGCGACACAGCCAGTAGGACAGGAAATCAGAGAAGTTTGAATTTGCTATATGCCTATATATTTTTAAGTGTTACTATTGACAAAATTCCATGTTCCGGTCACAGCCTAGTCACACAGCTTTTTCTTTTAACTTTTAAAAGGAAAGGCTTATTGGGAAAAGGGAGAAGATGATGCTAGAGACACAGGCAGGCAGAAAGCGCTACCTTTTGCCAGTGCAGAAATTATACTGATAAAGTGTTCTTTTGGGAAGGGATGCATCACTTATAGAATTGTTGTCTATTGTTAATCATCTTTAGGGAGTCACACAATTCTTATTAAATTTAAATAAGACCCTCAGATGAAAATTATCAGCGCAATATATCCCCCAAGATGGGAGGTACAACTTACTTCAACTTGAAAAAGTTCTCCAGCCCCCTCACAATCATTGGACGTGATTATTGGAGTGTGGATATGCACAAAGCCGCTGTCCTGGAAAAAAACAACAGCACTTTTTCAGTATGCTTGTATATGAAATTTCAAGAACATACACCTTATTATATCATAACACCATATCAAATCTCTCCCTAACCCCACAAATAAAACTACTGAATGATCATTTGAGTGTTTTACTATGCCCAAGAATTTTTCATCAGGAACAGACTTATTTAGTCATATCTCTTTACTTCAAAGATAAGGAAACTGATGCCCAGAGAGATTTTATGAAGTGCAGTAAGTCACATAGTTGCAGAGTCAGCCTTTCTCTGCTGTGCTATTTCTTTTCCCCACTTATCTAACACACCGGTAGTGATCCCCCTCCCCCACCCCACACACACTCTCAAGGATAATGCCCAATGATATAGCCCACATTGCTAAGGGATTACAAAGTGATCAATATGAAGTTCAGTTATTTTGGAATGAGACCCTCAATTTTAACAAATGACTAAAAAAGGAGAAAGGCTGGTAAAAAAATGGTTTCTAGGAAGTCTGTCGTTAAGACGGTGGTAATGAATTTAGAAGACCCAAATAAGGGATCAGGAAAAAGACTAATTATGATAAAGTAAAAATCAAAATCAACAGGCAACTATAAACCAAAGATACACTACAGCACGGGAAAAGGGAGTAGGATCAAAACAAGGGTGGTGGGAATTTTACGGGGACTATAACCAAGATGAAAATGCATACTTTGTATAAAAAATGAAAAATGATGTAAAAAATATTTAAAAAATAGATGGTGGTACAGTATACTGCACAAGGCATAGGGGTGCACTGCTTTTGTCTCAGGAAGATTCTGAGTAGCAAATCCATCCTTTGCTGAGGTGCCCAACTGTAATTCTTCCTTTCCAAAGTCTGAGATTATTTCCATTAGTGAATAACAAAGATGTATCGAGCGGGAGTGAAATAAACCAGCAACTTCAAGATTATGTTAGTTTCATTTTGATTACAGATGCAGGCAAAAATCTCTATTTCACCCACATTGCAGGATGGAGGTAGAGGAAACTAAAGTGAATGATGTTGCAATAAAGTTGTGTTTAACATAAAATTTTTGGTATTGAACCCAATACAATAAACTCACACACATGCATCTCTGCTGAATTCTGCTTGTCATTTAGAGGAATGTAAAATGTCTTCAGTGCCTCCCATATTTGTCCCTTCCTTCCTAAAAAGGTTGAATTCAAGTATTCTGGCTGAGATACAAAGTATTCATTCAACAACTTGCCTTATGATGTAAACTGATTAAATATTCAAGTTATAAATTAAGAGTCTCACAAAGTATTTAAATATATACTTAATCTGGGAGCAACATGCCTAGAGGTGTGCACAGGGCACATTATAGAGAACAAGTGAAATATAATCGATAACATTACTGCATAAAATTTTTATCTCCTAGGAGCCAAGTACTATGGACATGAATCATTTATTCCACATGAATGCAGGCAACTGTGATGCATGAGTGCAGTAAACAAAGAAAGGAAGTGAAAAATCCAAAGGAAATGAGGGTGGCAAGGGGGAAGGAGGAGGGAGAAGAAAATTTAACGGCTAAACTTAATTGCCAAAGTTAGAACTGGGCAACTGCCACAAGAAATAACACTGTACATCTTATGAAAACAACTATATTTTTTTTAAAATCACTGTTGTGGGAATTATCTTAACAGTTGACTAAAGCCAGCTCCTTCAAAAGTTGTCACCAGCTTTTTAAGCCTTAATGCTGCTAACAAGGTTTATCAAATCAAAATTACCACCAAGAGCTATAAAGGAGAAAGTACAAAAGAATAATGAAGCTCTGAGAACAAAGTCCAAAAAAGAGCAAGTGGATAGGAAAATAGAGAGAGAAAGAGGAGAGGAAGAACAAGGAGTGGTCCAGTACTGTCAGGAGCCGCCTGCAACGGGCTCTGGGTCAGCACTTAACCCTTCCCACAGTGAAGGGGTTCCTGATTAGAGCTAGGAAGACCAGAGACGGAGCCGAAAATAATAAAGCATATACTTTCATCCAATTATTCAAATTCTACCCACCATCACTAAGTATCTACGTATTTTGACACACACATTCTAGGAGTAGATATTTTATAAGGCAATGATTTCTAATTTTCTGAAAATTAGAAAATTCTCATACTAAAGCCCATACGCATCATTAAAAGAATCATGGACTATAATTTTCTTGTCCATCCCTCCCCCCAAATAGGTATCATTATTTAATCAGAATCATCTATGTTAGCAATTGCTAGTCGCAGGCACAGGAAGGGAAGATAAAAAACAAAGCAGTTACAGGAACTCAAAGGCAAGGCAATCTGGGGTCATTCCTCACAATCTGGGGTCATTCCTCACAGGCGCAACCGATATGCCACCTGACCAGAGGTTTTGAAGACACTGCTATATGTAAAAGGGCAAAATGTGATACTAAAAGGAAGAACCTTCACTTATCAGGAAAGGGAAAAACTCTTTTCTACTGGCACAATTTAGGAAGCCAGGAAAGTATATAATGTAGTGTGGAATCACTCTGCTGGAAATTAGAAAAACAACAAAAAACTCCAAAATGTTGCTACATTCTTCCTACTGATAATTTCATCTCTGTATATCTGACTGCAGCACTCAGTTTACACCCTGACTTCAGGGAGATAGGAATACACATCCTACATCCCCTGGGGAAAGTGCTGTAATAAAGGTTACTAGTATTACTATATAAAAAAGAAATAAATTAGGAAACACTGGTATCTAAAGAGATAATCTTCAGTTTTTCAAGAAACTCAGTTATTCTATGAACATTCTATATAGTCATGCTTTATGTGACGTGGTAAATATGTCAATTTTATGAGTTATACACAACATGTTTGAAATTCAAACCAAAAAATAACTCTAGATCTTTCAGGAAGCCTAACTAAAAGTTACCAATTTAAGTTTCTATTTTTCCTTACATCTCTATATTTGTATTGATATATTTAAAATTTATGAAAATTTTATATTTTAAGTTTTAACATCTTTTAAGGAACCTAAAGTAAGAAGTTACAGAAATGGTACCAAATATTAGGTGGTTTGTACTCCTATAGTACTCCTATAGTACTCCAGTGATTTCTTTAAGCAATTCATCCCACTATGTCACACACACAAGTGGGTAATATGATAGATGGAGGTATCAAGAATGTAATTTTCAGGGATTTATAATTAGTGAATTTACAGCACTAAAATTACCTACTTATTACGCGGCAGTACTGCAAATCCAGTTATTTCAACCTCTTAAATGTCTTAAAATTTTTACTTTATTTTGTTTTTTTTTTTTTATTTGAAAATTTCCTAGCTTGTTCTCTTATTTTTGAGTAATAAAGGACACTTGTCAAATGGATTGTCAATACCACCACCTAGTGGCAGAAATCCATAAAGCTGTTTCAGAATAAAAGCAGGTCCTCTTACCTACAGATCAGATGTTAAAGTCATATGGGCAAAAAAATTTTTTTAGATCTGAACAAATTTTCTATTTGTGTGATTCAGGCACTACCAAAAAGACATATGGAAGTTGCATAAGAACTTTATGAGAACATATGTAAATGCACCCTTTCAAACTATAATGGGATGAAATTGTATAATGTGGTTTATTTTCCTTTGCTTATTCAAAATGCATGTCTTAAAGCCATGATCTTCTTTAGCTGCTTCACCAGAAATTAGCTATTATAAAAGGTACTTTTCAAAAAGCGAAAACTCTCTTCATGTGCTAACGCAGGGCTGCGACTCATGGATTTAGATGCAGGCCAAGGAAAGGCTAAGCTGTTATACAATCTCTGCAAATTAGCTGATCTAGAGAAGTCACATAGGAAGGGTTCCTAACTTACATGAAACAACACTGAATTTTATCTGCAGGGCCACTCCATGTCTCTGGGCCCTCCCTTTCCCATGCAGGGAGGGCTCCCAAACCTCAGCAATTTAAGAACTGTATTTCACTGTGAATTTCCTGGGTGGGGGAGAAGGCTGGAAAGCAAAGCTAAATGAGACAAAAATGCCCTTAGTTATTATATCAATCTACTTGATCAATACCAGTAACTTTTAAACTAGTGCTTACTCTCTGTAAAATGTCTACGACAAAGATGGAGAAACAGGAACCAGATTTACCCTTCCACCAAACACCAAAACAGACAAACAAACAAAAAACCAAAACAAGACCATACTCAATTCACATGAAAAGATGATTCATCAGCCACTGAATATCGGAGACAGCCATCCTTGAGACAGGGAAAACAAACCCTGTGAACTTAACTAGCAGCCCACTTTCACTACTTTGAGATTTCCCAAGCCAATGCATGAAAAAGGGGAAATAAAGTGGGTGCCCCAAGTCAAGGACACAGAGTTAAGAGTCTGAGGAGACCAAAGAAGCTAGAATTCATAGGACAGTGGGCCAGAGAGGAGAGAGCTACACAGAAAAGCCTAGAGATGTGTAGAGGGTCACATTGGAGTTTAGGTAGATGACTGATCAGTTCTTGTGTGTGAGGAAACTAACCATCAGGGAAAGACCACCTAAAGAGATTAGAGGAAACAGAGCATGGTGCTTACATGTGGCTGGAAAACATGCCTGTTTCCATAAGTCATACTGAGACAATTCGTAATTCACAGGCAATAGGTGGAGTATTAGGATGGCTTTACCTCTGTAGTGGGGAATAATTAGTCCTAGACTGAGCAATGGTCCAGACCTTAACAAACCCTAAAAGCAAGACCCAGCAGGATCAAGCAGTTTTCAAGTAACTTAACTGCTTACCAGAACAAAGCTTAAGAAGCTTTATAAAGATCCAGGACCCAACAGGATAATATTCATAATGTCTGGCATTCAATCAAAGATTAGCAGGTATGCAAAGAGGCAGGAACACATAACCCATAATGAGATTAATCAATAAATCAAAGCTGATTCATGATTGACAGACATGTTAGAATCAGAAAAGGATATGAAAGTTATTAAACAGCGATTAAAATTGTATGTACATGTTCAAAAAGTTAAGTAGAGACATGGAAGATATTTTTTTAAAAGGCCCAATCCAAACCTATAATGTGTGAAACAAAAAAATGCACAATAAATGAGGCCTTGTAAGTAAGACACAGCAACAGAAACTAACCAACAGAAACACACAGAGAAAAAGAACTTTAAAAAAGAAAGAAAAGAACATCAGTGAGGATATTACCCAGTAGCCTAATACATGGGTAACGAAGTCTTCAAAGGGAGGTAACAGAAAAAATATTTGAAGAAATAATGACTGGAAAACTGGATGAAACTTATCTATACATAGATCCAGAAAACTCAACAAACTCCAAACACGAGAAATTGCACCAAAGCACATCATAATAAATTGCTCAAAACCAGTGATAAAAAGCACACAATCATCATAATCCACTGGCACTTTTTATCACTGTTTATCAACATGTACTGCTAAAAACATGAGGGAAGGTCGGCAGCTTCCCTTCATCTCTTTATGTAACTAGAGTACTGCATACTTACAGTCAAAGAAAAAGTAAAAGGGGCTTATAATATATAACTACTTTCAGAAAAATATTCCAGAGCACAATTACTCGACTCCTTCACAAGAAAGAATACTTAGAAACAAAGGGCCTTACCTTGAAAAAAGAATGAATGGCAGCTGTGGCTTCACTGCGAACCCTCAAAATAGAACCCAGGACATTAGTCCTACATCTAAGGTGAGGGTATTGTCTCAGATACTCCAGAGGATGCCTCTCTTTATATTTAAAGGGGAAAGCCTGCCAATAAATGGAAAAAACAAAATAAATGCTAAAAAAAGATACTGTTTTTATAAGTCAGTTTTCCAAGGCATTTGTTACATAGTGCTTTAGAACAAAATGACGTTTTCCTTCATTTATTAATATAACTGAATGCAGCACACATTAACTCCACCAAGTTAGTGGGATGGCAGGGTTCAATCACAAATGTGTGGGTTTGACTCCAGATGTACTTACTTGTTAGCTGTGGAGCTTTAGGCAAAGTTGTTACTTAGTATCACAGAGGTTAATGCTATTGATCAAATTTCTATCTGCTAGTTATTAATCACTACTTGCAGACAGAATAGGATATAATTATGCAAAAACAGTGCACTGTTTGGCACAGAGGAGTTCAGAATATTGTAGAAATTAAAGATTATGTTTTCTATAGCTGGATACACACATTATGTTTTCTATAGCTGGTGTTCAATTTTAAATCACCCAAATGTCTTGAAAGCACACAATCATTCATAATCAATTGGCACTTTTTATTACTGTTTATCAACATGTACTGCTGTCTAAGAACACGAGGGAAGGTCAGCAGCTTCCCTTTATCTCTTCATCTGACAGAGTAGTGCATATTTAAAGCACTTTTAAAGTAAATTATAACCCCCCCTAAAAATATTTCCACCTGCCCACACTTGTGTTCCAACAATAAGAAGACAGAAACAAATGTTCAGGAAAAAACTAAAGTTTCAAGGAAAAAGATAACAGAAAAACCAAGTAAAAGAATCACTGTTAGGTTGTTCCTTTTAGTCTTGTATGTTCCCTTTAGGCCCTGTGAGCATACTGATTTATATTATATAGACATAAACTTACACATACATGCCAAAATGAAAGTATAACCACATTAACAGGAATCAGAAAGACAGGGGTTCAGAATTCCTCAGTGTGTGAATACATAAAAATGACACTGAAATGATGGGGGAAAGAAGGCGAAGGCATCAACATTAACAGAAACCAAAGGAGAAAAATTTAAGAAGAGTAAAGCACAAGGTAAATTTTTAACGATTGGATTTTAGATTAGGGATCCTTGCGTCAGCTGAGACTGCCTGGAACCGGGAAAGGGCAGCCCCCACAGCCACAAGTGAGCTGAAAAGCCCCCATAAGTCAGGCCCTGTCTGGCCACCAGTCAGAGCCCAGAGGGGGATCCAGCCACTGCTAGGGCAGACTGTGGGTGCAGGTAGGTGCCCTTCTGTCTCGCCACTCTAGAACAGGATCACTGTGTCCAGAACCCACCAAGACTGTGGAATTGGGAAAGGGCTGCCCCTACAGCCAGAGGTGAGCTGAAGGTCCCCAAAAGCCAGGCCCCGCCTGGCAGTGAGCCGGAGCCCAGAGGGGGATCCAGCCACCCCACCTCCAGGGCAGTCTGTGGGACCCCAAGACATACCTCTGGAATTAAACAAATACAGAAGGTGGAGATTTTCTGTGACAGCGACCATTAACATATTCATAATACCACTGCCCTACTTACTTCTGCATAACAGTATTTAACTCGATCAGACCACCATTTTCTGACATCCCAGAAAGAGCACACCAAAAAGATGCAAGCCAGTACCAGCGACACAGTGTCCCAACACATAGGACAAATTAGAAAACAAGCAGTAGGGAGAAGAAAAACTACAAGCAACCAAGCAAATCCTCAGGGAAAAGATATACCACAAAAAGAAAATCACCCACCAGATGGCAACAACAGGGACTTAGAAGAACTTCTGAGCCTTCCAGAAAGAGAATTTAAAATTGCCATTATTGGGCCTCCCCGGTGGCGCAGTGGTTGAGCGCTGGGTTGCGAAGCTGCCCGCGGCCTCTGCAGCGCCGGTTCGATCCCCGGTTGCTCCCCGGCCACCGGAGGAGGGTCCAGCATGGCGCACAGACCTCTCCTGCCGCCCGCTGCTCCCCTCAGCAGTGTACTTCGGTCCTTCTGCCTGTTCTGCTCCCCGCTCTGGCTCTGGTGAATTCTCTCACCCTCCTGCGCTTCTGACTGTACCCAGTGCTTGTATAAATAAATAAATAAATCTTTAAAAAAAAAAATAAAATAAAATAAAATAAAATTGCCATTATTAAAAAACTGACAGAAGTCATAAAGGAAAACAATGATAAGGGAAAAATAATCAACGATCAGAAGAATGAAATTGAGTCCCTAAAGAGGGAAGTGAAAGAAATGCAGGAGATCAAAGGATTAATGGAGGAGCTAAAGAACTCTGGGAAAAGCAGTGAAAGCAGAATAGATGAAATGGAAGAATGAATAAGTACTCTTGAAGACAGAGAAATAAAAAGAACCAAAACAGAAAAGGAAAGAGAAGTACAAAGGAAAAAGAATAAAGAAAGACTTCAGGAACTATCTGATTCCATGAGGAAAGGAAATATAAGAGTTATAGGAATCCCAGAAGGAGAGGAGAGAGACATAGAACAGAGAAAATATTCAAGGAAATAATTGAAGAGGACTTCCCAAACATGAAGAAGGAACTGAAAATAGACATACAAGAAGCAAGAAGAACACCAAACTTCTATGATGTAAGGAAAAATACAGCAAGACACATAATAGTAAAGCTCCCAAGAATCCAAGAGAAGGAAAAAATAATGAAGCTGACAAGAGGGAAGAAACAGATAACATACAAAGGAAAACCAATCTGACTGATATCGACTTCTCTAAAGAAACACTACAGGCAAGGAGAAAATGGAGGGACATAGTCAACAAACTCCAAGACAACAAATGCCAACCAAGAATACTCTATCCTGCAAAGCTTTCCTTCCTCTATGGAGAAAGAATAAAAACCTTCCGAGACAAACAGAAACTCTGGAATTTCATTACGACTAAACCCCACTCCAAAAAATACTCAAGGAGTCCTAAAGCCAGAACCAACAGAGGGATGAATAAGAACGAAACAAGACCAAAATAAATAAATAAATAAGATAAAAAATAAAACCAGAGAAAAGACAACCAAATGGCAAATACAGACGCTAACACATCAATATTAACTCTAAATGAAAAAGGACTAAACTATTTAATAAAAAGACACGGAGTCGCAGGCTGGATCAAGAAACAAAACCTAACCTTTTGCTGTCTTCAGGAAACACAATTAGATACAAAAGATAAAAATAGACAAAGTAAAAGGATGGAAAACAATCCTACAAGCTAATGGGCCAAAAAAGAAGGCAGGAACAGCTATACTTATATCAGATAAAACAGATTTCAAAATCAAAAAGGTAAAAAGAGACCTAGATGGTCACTACATTATAATCAAGGGGACAATACTTCAAGAAGAAATAACACTCATTAACATATATTCACCAAATGAAGGAGCACCAAAATATATGCGACAACTATTATCATCTCTGAAAACAGACATCAGAGAAAACACATATGTAGTAGAAAACTTCAACACACCGCTATCAACAATGGATAGATCAATGAGACAAAAAATAAGTAAGGACATTAAAGCTCTAAATAAGGATCTAGACCCCATAGGCTTAACAGACATCTATAGAACATTAGACCCCATAAAACCTGAGTACACATGTTTCTCAAGTGCACACGGATCATTCTCCAGGATTGATCACATACTGGGACACAAGACAAACAAGATACACCAAGATTGAAATCATACCAATCATTTTCTCTGACCATGAAGGTGTCAAACTAGAAATAAACCATAAAAAGAAGACAAGGAACTCTCCTACCTCATGGAGATTGAAACCCACACTACTGGAAGACCACTGGACTAATGAGGAGATCAAAGAAGAAATTAAAAAATACTTTGAGTTGAATAACAAGGAGGACACCAATTTCCTAAATGAATGGGATGCAGCAAAAGCAGTAATAAGAGGAATATATACAGCAATACAGGCTCACATCAAGAAACAAGAAAGAACACAAAGAAACAACCTAATCTCACATCTCAAAGAACTAGAAAAAGAACAACAACAAAAAAGCCTAAAACCAGTGGAAACAATAAAAATCAAAGCAGAAATAAATGAAATAGAAATTAAAAAAAAAATCCAAAAGATCAATGAAACCAAAAGTTAGTTCTTCAAAAAAATAGATAAAATAGACAAACCCCTACCCAGACTCACAAAGGAAAAATGGGAGAAAGCACAAATAAAAGAGGAGAAATCACAACAGACACAGCAGAAATCAAAAGAATAATCAGAAACTACTGTGAACAGTTATATGCAAACAAGCTCAACAATCTAGAGGAGATGGACAAATTCCTACAACTCTACAATCACCCAAAGCTAGATAAAGAAGAAATAGAACACCTAAACAGACCAATTACAAGCAACAAAATTGAAATGGTAGTCAAAAACCTCCCCCAAAACAAAAGCCCAGGACCAGATGGATTTAAATGAATTCTACCAAACATTCAGAAACGAATTAGTGCCTATCCTTCATAAACTCTTTCAAAAAGTTGAGAAGGAAGGGGTAATACCAAACATGTTCTATGAAGCCAACATTACACTAATACCAAAACCGAACAAGGACAACCCAAAAAAAGAAAAGTACAGGCCAATCTCTCTAATGAACATGGATGCAAAAATCCTCAATAAAATTTTAGCTATCAAAATCCAACAATGTATCCATAAGTTAATTTACCACAACCAAGTAGGATCCATTCCAGGGACACAAGGATGGTTCAACATCCGAAAATCAATGTTATCCAACACATCAACAAAAAGAAACATAAAAACCATATGATAATATCAATAGATGTTGAGAAAGCTTTTGACAAAGTAAAATTCTTAGGATACAAGGAACATACCTTAACATCATAACGGCCATATATGACAAGCCCATAGCCAATATCATTCTTAATGGTGAAAAGCTGAAAGCATTTCCTTTAAGGTCTGCAACAAGACAAGGATGTCCACTCTCACCACTGCTTTTCAATCTAATACTGGCAGTCCTAGCCAGAGCAATAAGACAAGAGAAAGACATATAAGGAATCCAAATAGGGAAGGAAGAAGAAAAACTATCACTATTT